GACCCAAGGGTCATTAGAGATACTTTCCTTTGGAAGGGAAAAGATGACGCAACTTGGATGAGAACTAAAGAGTTCCATCACTTGGGGAAAGTAAACTTAACAAAGCATAAACATTCACACATGATGAATATAAGGGATATGGTTACAACCAAGAATGATCAAGCATATTATAATAAGAAAGGATCTAAATCAGGATGAATGGTTACAACCAAAGCAAGCATTTAAAATATTACAATATTAATGATTTCAATCAAGATAGATGGTCACAACCAAAGCAAGTATCAAGATATTACAATATTAAGAAGGGTAAGTTCTTACAAGACTTAAGCATAAGGAAGTCACAACCACAAACATATCTTAACAAAGATGGGGATATATCTTAACAAAGATGGCAGGGGATCTTAACAAAGATAAAGATGTATCTTGACAAAGAATGGTTTCTTAGAGCTTACAAGATGCCGTATGTAATTACAATTATCAAGCGTAATCAAATAATGTCACAACAAATGTAAGTGAGAAGTTTAAAAACTTCACGGGGAAAACTTTCAAGTTTTAAGAGAAGATCAAACACAAATGCTTACAAGCAAGAGTTTTAGTCAAACTCAAGTACACAAGGATGTTAACAAGCCAAAATCATAACTTTAAAATAAAACTCAAAAGAGAATAAAATTAAAGTTTTGAAATGAATAAATGAGAGATAGGAAGGTGAAAACCCTAAAAACATTCATGGTAGCGTGTGAAATGCAAGTAGAAAGTTCACATTTATGAGTTTTAGGTTTACCTCTTGAAGCAAGCTTAAGCAATAAGAAAACCAGAGATATTGAGAGCTCTTACAAGGTCTTCAAATGTTCCTAGGTTGATGAATAGATGCTCCAAACAACCTCCAAGCAAGCTAGTGGACGAAATGCCTTGTAAATGAAGGAAAAACTCTAAAATCCAAAGGTTTCAAAGACCAACTCACTCAAACCTTGTTACATAAGTATGGAAGTGATTTGGATAGCTTCAATACATCATATTTGATGTGTTTGAAGTGTTTCTTGAGTTGGAAAAAGTTTGAAAATGGTTTTCGAAGGTGTTTTGCAAAAATAGATTTTGAGGGATTTTGGAGACTTAGTGAGATTTTGCAAGAATTTGGTGATTGTGTAAGGGAGAGAGTTCTAGATGGTTTCTAGCATAGAACTGGTGTGTTTTTGATGTAGGAAGTGAGTTCTATTTATAGCCAAAGACCTTGGATCAAGGTATGGGCAAAAGTGAAGCAAATTGCCAATTTTAACCTTCCATCATGAAAATCTTTGAGTTTTCCAATGCAATCTTCATACTTGTCTTTAAGCCACTCTACTAAGATATTCTCCATACCCTATAGATTTTTTCATCATGCTTGATAGGATAGGAGGTGACTTGTTAAATTAAAGTTGATGATTTGAAAAGGGTAGCCACCTTTTTTCTCTTTCTTCACTATTCACTTTTGCAACTTGCATTAAATAATGATTTCCTTTGATCTTTGTACCATTTTTCGTGTGACTTGATATTAAAATGTTAATTATCAATTCAAACATCACAAATTAGGTTTAGCCTTTGATTAGCATCGATTTGGAGAGGTTTTGGAATAAAAAAACTCATGCTGACCTAGTTTTGCGAATGTGAGTTTTTGCCAACTTGTGGATCTTGGTTCTCTCTAACCAGGAAGAGTTATGGAACCCACTTGTACTTTTAAAAAATCCCCAATTAGGTAATACAATATTTATGCTTGTGTTAGGAACTCATTCCCCTTGAAACTAGGTCAAAAACCCTTGTGTGGTTAAGGAGTTATGGCTTTGCCCTTTTCAAAATCTTAATTTCCCAACTTTTCGATTACTTATCAATTCTTGATCCAATGGTCACCAAACTTCATGAATAGATGTGATATACCATTAGGAACATAATTTCCTTCAATTTTGGGTTAAAACCATGTTGGTCAATGAGTTGAGTTTTCAGTCAGACGAACCAATTAATTGAAGAACTCTGAATCGACTGTTGGTGGGTCCTCTGAGGTCTTGAAACTTCTTGAGTGAGCTTCACTAAGCCATATGAGCTTCATGGACCATGATTACATCATTGGAACACTATTTTAATCAAAAGTCAAAGTACAGTTGACTTTTCCTAATCAGAAACCCTAATTGGGTATCCTGAACTGCACCGTTCTCAATTCCTGGGTGACGACCTCAAATTGGATTCATACTTGACCCCATGTAGTATCCTTGATCTTTTTTATAGTTGAATCAATCTAACACATTGATTGATCAAACCACCGAAGCTTCAATTTTGACGGTATGGAACCCTGATTTATCTGCATCTTGATAAAGATAAACTTGAAATGGGTTAAGGTTAGTTAATCAAATGAATATGATCCTAAAATGATGAGGATCTAAGTGGTCAAAATTTGGGGTGCAACAGGTGTCAACATCATCACAAGGACGCCGGCATCATTTTCCACTTTTCTCCATTCACGATAACTCCGTTTCTATCGGTCTTCTCCACCAACCTCTCAATTTTCCTAATCTTTTCTCCTGGAGCAATATCCCCTTCTAGCCAGTGGTTCAGTTCCCTGTGCAAGTGCTCCAACGTCTGCGTATTCCACAGAAGCACCTTCATCGGAGGCTTTGTTGCTGAAAACACCACAAGGGCATTTCTTTTCATTATATCAAACGTTGTAAAAGGTTCCTCCGATGCTGATGGCGAAGAAGAAGAACGTTGATTCAGAAATGCAGACATTATGGACTCCGCTCAACTCAAACCGCACTACCACTTTAGTCTTTTAGGAAATAATGTTGTGAAAAAAACATGTGTTTGAGCTCGTATTTATAGCCAAAAAAAATGATAATTAAAAAACGATAAGTTAGTGCGCAAATACATCACAACAAGTGAAAATAAGGTTAAGGTTAGTTAATCAAATGAATATGATCCTAAAATGATGAGGATCTAAGTGGTCAAAATTTGGGGTGCAACAGGTGTCAACATCATCACAAGGACGCCGGCATCATTTTCCACTTTTCTCCATTCACGATAACTCCGTTTCTATCGGTCTTCTCCACCAACCTCTCAATTTTCCTAATCTTTTCTCCTGGAGCAATATCCCCTTCTAGCCAGTGGTTCAGTTCCCTGTGCAAGTGCTCCAACGTCTGCGTATTCCACAGAAGCACCTTCATCGGAGGCTTTGTTGCTGAAAACACCACAAGGGCATTTCTTTTCATTATATCAAACGTTGTAAAAGGTTCCTCCGATGCTGATGGCGAAGAAGAAGAACGTTGATTCAGAAATGCAGACATTATGGACTCCGCTCAACTCAAACCGCACTACCACTTTAGTCTTTTAGGAAATAATGTTGTGAAAAAAACATGTGTTTGAGCTCGTATTTATAGCCAAAAAAAATGATAATTAAAAAACGATAAGTTAGTGCGCAAATACATCACAACAAGTGAAAATAAAATGCAAAAAAAAGTAAAAACATATTATACAAAAGGATTGATCCTCCTTAGGGATCGAACCCAGGCTAGCAAGGTGAAATGCGCATTTGATGACAAAGTGATTACCACTGGGGTGGCTATACATCCATTAATGGATGTCACCCCAAAAATATATAAGGGAAGTTTAAAACCCTAGCTGGGCGATTTAGCAAGCAAACCAATTTATTTTAAATTTATAATTTCATAAAATAATTTAACCTTTTAAACTTAATTTTTTTAATATTATAGATGACATTATAAATTATATTATAAATTAATATTAATATTAATTATATAAATATTAATTAGATTATAAATTTATATATTTTATGGTTAATAATAATAATAACTAAAATCAAAAAAAGAATGAAAACGGAAACCCTAACCAATATAACCAATTCGCCAATTGGTATGGCGAATGCCCACAAAAAAGACTATGTCGCCAATTGGTTTGGCAAACGCCTTGAAGCCCATTTGGCCTAATTCGCCAATTGGTTTGGCGAACGCATGTTAGTCCATTTTAAAACATTGCCAATTTGATAATAATTTTGAAAGAGTAATTTATTTGATAAATAAAAATTAATACATTGCTACTTTAAAAAAAAATTCACAATCCTCAATCTTGGAAACTCTTTTTAATAAATTTCATATCAAAATCAATTTTCCATCTCTTATAAATCGATCATGACTGATTCAAATAGAAAATCAAACATAGGCCAAATCCTCTCTATAATTGCTTTTATTGTGTCAAAATAAACTTAGTATTTCTAAAACGGGAAATTTTAGAATTTAAATTAATTCTATTCATACATAAAAGTTTCATTTAATACCCTATGTCCTAGTGAAATTTATTTGTCCTAGTTTTAGTTACCAAAATATCTTTAATTATTATTTTCTAATTACATCCTCTAATTAATATTCATAATTTACTATTTTTTTCACTAATTTACTATTTTTTTCACTTTATGTTAAAAATAATTATTGATAATTAAAAGTGTAATATGACACTTATTTTGGATGAGAGTATCAAATTATAAGAAAAATAAATACAAGTAATAAGTTAGTGAAACCCATTAATATAGATTTAATGAATTTCATTAAATTAAATTTGTGAAATTTTCTAATTTTTATAAATAAATAGTGAATAGAGAATAGATATATGGAACTTTTCCAGCCAGTACACCTCCATGGATTTTCAATAAAGAATAAAGTGCTTTTTCATTTCTGTCTAATCAACTACGTTCTAAATGCTTTTGGCATTAATATGAGTGTGTTTGGCTATTTTCAATTTCATACTTAAATTACAGTGATCTATTCTGGATTTATGGATTTTAAATTATACTGGTAATTGCAAAACACAGTGAACTTTCGGCAGAAAAGAAAAGTCATATAGCCTACTCAAAATTTGCAATGATTTAACAAGAAAAAATGAATTGTACGTTGCAACCACCAGAATGAATAACAAATTTTCCGGTGGTACCTTTCATTTTTGCAGTGTTTTGGATTGTTACTATGTTCCTAATCAAGCTCTTCATTGATTTCATTATCCTCTGGATCTTCTCCATCTTCATCTTCACCGTCTTCTGAATCTTCGTCATTATTGTCAATCTCATTATCGGTTTTTCCTTTGTCACCAGCCTTTCCTGACGCTGGATGAGATAGAACAACAGAAATGTCAGATCATTGTGGTATGATATACTGCATAAATTTCTCAATAAATGTGAAATTAAATTACTCAAAGAAAAAGTGTAGGATGATGTACCAGTTTCGCTGAAGAGGACTTCACCCGAACACAGTCCTTTCTCAATCCTAACGAGTTGAAGAGTCATCCTTGGACCAATCTCTTGAAGTCTTACCGCACTTTTTGTAGAAGCACGGTTAACTCTACCAATATTGCTAGACAAAGTCACTGTTGCTGCTTCTTCATCGGCTTCACTTTCTGATCCATAGCCAGCCCTTTCAAATCACAAATGAAAAATAAAAATGAAGCATTGACTATGGTTAATTATTTTGTATAGCACAATTATGGTTCACTTTTGTATGCACTTTATATGATTATAACTGCTGCAGACAAATAAATAGGAATAACACAATCATGAAACATTTCAATAGAGAAAATAGCATTCCAAAAAGTTAATCTCATTGTAATTCTGATTATTGCTTTATGATATGCACCATGTATTTGCATAATAGCAAGCTTGCATGCCAGTCTCAGAAATGGATTATACTAGCTCTTCTTCCAGCTAATCATTCAAATAGAAGGAAAAAAATAAAAAAGCTTGTGCAAATTAACAAGTATCTTACTTTGTGACAAAATCGCTAACGTCTTGAAGATTCCTTAGATCAGGAACCTGATGGCTTTGAACAAGTTTTCTAATTCTCCGTGAAACACCTATAGGTTGTAATCTAATCGAATAATGCCGGAAATCAATAAGCTTGGTGTCTTTGTTGTAATTAAGCAACACAATTCTTTGGCAAGAAGCGAGTTTAACCTGAAATATGTTGTGGCATTAGGAGAATGACTTGGATGTCAAGTAAGTCTTTAATTTGTTAGTGTCTACGAAACTCACAGTTTTAACGTCGATTGTTGGAAAAATATTCTGGAACATGTTAGTTGTAAGCCGTAGAGGCAAATCTCCACTGACAAATCCAGAAAGCACAATCTGATACAAAAACATAACAACATCAGTATTGGAAGAATAACAAAAACTGTTAGTTAACTATTAAATACAGCCTTCAACTTGAGATGAATAAAAGGCAAAAATATAATACATAATCTCTTTCTTGCATTTCATTAGCAAATCCGGTGATGATTTGCTCTTACATTCTGTTTTTTACTATCTAAATTATAATTTTATAAACAAAGAAACGCTTTACCAATGCGGAATTTTTGAAAAGATCTTTAGGGCATCGAGGATGCAATTGAGATCGAGCAATATCAGCAGCCAATGCGTATTCTTGTATCTTAAATGTAAGAGTAGGTCCTTGAGGGGTAGTTGCAACCCTCAAGTAAGGTGCAGATGCAGTTTTTGACAATATGAGAAAATGTGTAACACCCATAGGTCCAGCAACGTTCAAAAAGTCTTTCAGACTATTCCGTTTCTTTTCCTGCAAAATAGGAAACACAGGAGTATATAGTCAAAACTAGAATTCAATCTACTGCAGCACGTGATTGAAACTGATCAAATTGGGTATATTATAGTGTCACAGTTACAAATCTCTACAACAATCAATTTTACTGGGTAAATTTCAACATTCAACTATATTCATATCTTAAACTCTAAGGTATAACGGTCATTTTCTGCCCATTCGATCAATTTGTCTAGAAAGTCTCAATTAAAGAAATTGAGAAGCCTTAAAAGTCAATTTGATAATGTTTTCAAGAAGAACCTATGAAAAGAGATATTAAAATAATCTTCTAAGATTTTTTTATATTTCTTTAACAATATCTTCCAACTTTTTCAGAAGCTCTCTCATTTAAATTGTCCTTGAGAGTAAGAACCGCAGACTTATTTTAAGTGAGAAATTCCTGTAAGTTATAAACTAACCAAAACTAGGACCACGATAACAGAATAAGATATACATTGCATATAGCCACTCCCAGCATTCTCCAGATAGAACATTGTTTTACCAAAGTTAATCAATCATTCCAAAAGTCTCCAAACACATAAACTCATCTTATTCCACCAATGCATTAAACTTGATACAGGGATATAAATAACTGAAGTATTTACCAGAACAATAACACTCCACTGTCTTTGAAGCATTGTGAATGACACACACATATCCACTGAAATAAGCACTGTAACACAGTTTTCAATTTGTTTTCTCAAGCTATCTAAATAGCTATGAAAATAGGTTACACCTACGTTCTATCTTTTCTTATAGAAAAGCTTAAAACAAGAATCATAAAAAAGAAGAAATGAATATTAACCTTGAGACTGAGTGCAGTATATGGAAGCATCAACTTTCTAAGGTCCATCTGAAGCTGTTTAAGAGGAACAGGCAACTTCCCTCGTGCAAAAACAAAACTTTTCGGTATCTTCTTTCCCGTAATGGGATCAACACTGGGTTGTGACTCTGGTTGTTTATGATTCCTCTTGTTCTTGATGATAACAGGTCTTCTAAACCCATTTTGCTTTTTCCTCTGTTTCATTCATTACAAGGATAGAGTAAATTCCAAGCATAATGCACCAACATTAAAAATAAACAAAAAAACACAAGTCCAATTTTCAAGCTAGGGTTTGATACTAAATACCAGTTCAACAATCGAAATTTGAAAATATATAAAACCTAAACGAACAAAGTGACGATGATGGTTATGATGATTGGATATAGAACAAGAGCGAGTACCATGGTTTGAAGCGAATTGTATTGGAGATTAACACCGGCGACGGAGACGGAGAGAGACGACGGACAGTTGGAGCTGTGGAAGAGTTACGGCTGCTGGTGCTAGGTTTCAGCATATAACAGAGAATTGAAAATATTTGAAGAAATCGGGTCGGGTTGTGGTTTCGGGCTTTTGGATTCAACTAACCTGGTGCCCAACCCAGAAAAATACACCATACATGGGATAGGATGTAGGAAGTCTAAGGCGATTTTTAAGTCCATAATATTATTTTCGTAAAATTATTATCATGTTATTTTATTTTATTTTTAAAAAAATTAACATAAAGTTATATATTAACTAATAAAAAGAGTTCTGTTAATTTTTTTTAAAAGTAAAGTTGAAAAAATATTAGTTTTAGATCAATTTTTTTTCGGTTAAATATGTTTTTAGTTCCTAAAAAAAATAAGTCATAATCTAGTTTTAGTCCCTCCCATTTCTTTTAAAATATTTGTCCTTCAAAACTTTTCGGTCCCTATTTTTCATCGCTGAGGTCTATTACACTTGACGGAATCTTATGTGACAGATGAATTGGCACTTTTTTATTAATTTTGAGTAGATGAATGGATGATTAAGCACGTGTTGCTCAACATATAATATGTCACCTAAGTTTCTTTATTAGTTTAGTAAATACATAGCACCAGAAATCCTAAATCATTTTCACCCTCAAAATTGACTCTCATTCTCGTTCCTTCCTTTACTCCATAGAAGGTAATTTTCGAATTCAACTCCATTCTTCTTCAACTTCTTGTGTTTGCTTTGTGGAACATAGTATCAGTGACACATTGCATTTTTTTACTTTGTTTGTAGAAAGTTGACTCCATTATCATTGCGTTTGGTTTGCTTTGTGGTCGCAGCATTTACGTGAAAGGTGCTCGCTTTGTGGTCCCAGCATTTACGTGAAAGGTGCTCGCTTTGTGGTCCCTCGACATTGGAATTGAGGTAGGTCCACATGTTCCCTTTTAGATTCTAATTTATTGAAGTTTGGCATAGTGATTGTATTTTACTGGTAGTTATTAGGTTATTAGGATTTGTATGCATACAATAGTCATTTAGTGGGTCTATATTTGATTGTATTTTCCATCCATTATGTAGGGATGAGTGTTTTTAAAGTAATATTTTCCATTCATTATGTAGGGATGGATCCATATACATTGAGCCTAAACCTAGTATAAAAAATGCAAGAAAGAGGAACAAAGCTAAAATATGTGAAGATGAGGTTGATTCAAATACTATTGAGAGTTCTATTGATGAAGATGTGAAGGATGTCAAATTTGAGGATAGTGAAGAAGAAAGGATGAAGGGCTTTGATGAGGGTTTTTATGAAAAATTTGATAGTCAACCTAGAAACATACATGTTGCAGATGTAGCAGGCTCTAGTGAGGCAGTGAGAACGACTCTTATTACATCAGATATGGGAAAGGAACATGTAATTGAAGATGAGTATCTTACTGATGAGCTTGATAGTGGTGCTGAAGATGATAGTGGTGATGATAGGCCAAGAGTTTTTGGGTTCAATGAGGAAGATGGGATTATAAAGGAATATAAAGTCAAGGTTGGAATGGAGTTTTCATCTCTGAGGCAGTTCAAGAGTGCTATTTTGGAACATAATGTATTGAATGGTAAGGATATCATATTTGTAAAAAATGATGCAGTAAGATGTAGGGTGGTTTACAAGGAAAAATCACAATGCAATTACACTGTACAATAAAGTCCTAACATCAACAACCTTTAGAATTAAGACCTTGTATGATAAACATAAGTGTGAAAGACAATTTTTCAACAAGAGTGCCAAAGCTGATTGGGCTGTAAAAGTGATAGTTGATAGGATGAAGAACAATACAAATGAAGTTAAATGATGTAATTGCAGATGTTATGGTGAGGTATGCAACTGAAATCCCTGGTTGTAGGGCATTTAAGGCAAGACAGATTGGCAAAAGGATAGTGGAGGGAGACTCTAGTAAACAATATAGTTTGTTATGGTCATATGGGGCTGAATTGAGGAGGGCTTCACAAGGAAATACTTTCAAGATGAACATACAGTCTCTTGGTCCAGGTTTACTACCAAGGTTTGAAAGGTGTTACATGGCCTTTGATGGTACGAAGAAAGCTTTGAAATTAGCTTGTAGATCATTTATTGGATTAGATGGCTATCATCTAAAACACAAGTATGGTGGGATATTGTTAATAGTTATAGGAAGAGACCCTAATGACCATTATTTACCAATTGCCTTTGGAGTGGTAGAAACTGAGTCAGAGGACACTTGGAGTTGGTTTATGCAGTTACTCCTTGAAGACATTAGTGAAAAAAGGCGGTGTTTCATATCTGAATAACAAAAGGCAAGTACACTTCTAATTCTGTTTGGTTTTTTAGATGTTTTTTACTTCCATTGCTTGAATTGTTGTTTATACTGTTTGATTTTTTCAGGGTGTTGTACAGGTATTTGAGGAGCAATACCCAGCTTTTGAACACAGATTCTGTGTTAGGCATTTGTATGCTAACTTTTAAAAAAAGGTTTGGAGGTGGTACCCTATTTAGGGATCTAATGATGGCTACAGCAAAGGCAACCTACCTTGAGGCTCATGAACAATACATGCAGAAGATCAAGGAAGTCAGCAATGATGCATATGAATGGTTGGAGGCAATTCCTAAAACTAAGTGGTGCAAGCATGCATTTCCTTTGTATTCTAAGTTTGATGTATTGGTGAATAATTTAAGTGAATCCTTTAAAATCATTATATTGCTTCAAAGGGACAAACCAATTATAACAATGTTTAAATGGATTAGGTCGTATCTTATGGGTAGGTTTGCAACTTTAAGGGAAAAGGTTAATGGGTATAAGGGTAAGATCATGTCAAAACCACTAAAGAGATTGGATAGAAAGATTGAAAAGAGTGCAAGTTGGACAACCACTTATGTTGGACAATTGATATTCCAGGTTACCCATGTCATGTTTACTGATAATTTGTGGTTGATTTGGCTAATCAAACATGTTCATGTAATTTTTGGAATCTCATTGGAATTCCATGTAGACGTGCAGTTGTTGAAATCCATATGAAAGTTGATGATCCCGTTAATTATATCCATAAGTGTTACCATAAGTTGACTTATGTCAAATGTTATGAGGAAAGTATCACTCCTTTGAATGGCCAAAATAAGTGCCCCAAAACCAATGATCCAGTAATTTACCCATCCATGTTCAAAAGAGGGCCAGGGAGGCCAAAAAAACTTAGAAGAAGGGAACCTGATGAATCCAATGCTACCAAGTGGAAAATAACTAATACTACTCATAGGTGTAAGACATGTTTGGAGTATGGTCGTAACACTATGACATGTAAGAAGAACAAACAAAATTTTCTATACAAGAACCAAGATGTAACAACAAATGAGGTACCTATACATGTTCAAAAGAGGGCCAGGGAGGCCAAAAAAACTTAGAAGAAGGGAACCTGATGAATCCAATGCTACCAAGTGGAAAATAACTAATACTACTCATAGGTGTAAGACATGTTTGGACTATGGTCATAACACTATGACATGTAAGAAGAACAAACAAATTGTTCTATACAAGAACCAAGATGTAACAACAAATGAGGTACCTACACATGTAAGTCAAACTGGGAATATTCAAAAGGCAACATCAACAAAGGTTAGTCTTGTGGTTTATGGGAAATTTTATATTGTTTGTTCTTGTTTGTATGTTATGAGTAACTATAAACTATTTTCCAGGGGAAACTTAAGGGGTCATTGAATAAGAAAGTCAAAGTGGCACCAAGCAATGCACCAAGAAAGATACCAAGCATGGCACCAAGCCAGCCACCAAGTAAGGCACAAAGTCAGCCACCAAGTAAGGCTAAGATTGCTCAACCTCAAGCCACAGACCATATAAATGAGGCACCAAGTCAGGATTCAGTCCAAGGTTCTCATGTTGCTCAACCACCAACAGATCCACAAACTGCACTACCACCACTAAGTCCTCATGCTAATACTGCACAACCACCAACAAATCCACAAATTGCACTACCACCACCAAGTCCTCATGCTAATACTGCACCACCACCAACAAATGCTCAGGTTGCACTACCACCATCAAGTCCTCATGTTGATACTGCACCACCACCAACAGATGCTCAGGCTGCTTAACCCATAGCTTTTGATACTGCACCACTACCAAGTACAGATAGAAGAGACTACCTTAATGACATAGATCCAGATGTTCTCGAAGCAATTCTCAATGATATCAACAATGGAATAGATATTGTTCTTGACATTCAACCTCTTACAATTGACTTAATCCCTATCAAACAGGTTATTGTAAACACAAGTCCTTCAATGTCTGGTGGTGTGAAGACCTTCTTTGGTAGTACACCAAAATTCAAACCCTCCAAAGCACTCAAACATCAAAGAAAGGTCAAGGCAACCTTTAGTGATCCTGTAAGTTAGGTCAAGTTTATTCATTGTTGTTTTTTAGGTCAATGTTAAGTTAATTAAGTTTATTCATGGTTGTTTTATAGGTCAAGTCTATGATGCCAAAGAAGAAAAAAGTCCCATGAGCTCTGAGTCAAACCAGAAAGAGTGAAAGACTCAACACTATAACAATGAAAGACATCAAGGGACCTGGAAAACAACATGAAGATCCAACTGTGCTCACTGAAGATGATACATCAAAACAACTAAAACAAAAGGGAAGAAAAAGTTGGGAAGAAATTCAAAAAGGCTTGACTCAATGAGGATGAATTTTGAAGAAGTTGATTGATCTTGTTTTTGTGGACTATGTTACCATAACTGTTTTTTTTTTGTAGACTTTGATTAAGTATATTTTTTGTCTATGATGTAACATATGATCATTTGTACTCGATATACAATGACTTGTAATTTTGGTCATCCTTTTGGATCAAACTAAGTCCATGTGTTAACTTTGAATACTTTGAATTCCTATGCTTTTAATGAAGTTAGTTCATGTTAGTT